GTCCTGCCCAAACTTCATTCCTGAAAAATGGGAGACAGGAAAGGCCTCCATCCATCCGGCCCCCTCTCTACTTTGCAACTGGCACATAAACCTTGACCTTGGCTTTGGACAGGCATCTTTTCTTCACAGAAGTTGGCATTTCTTCTACCCTCAAAACCACGTTCTGCACACCAGAACAACTAGACACAAGGAGAGTTTCCCCCCACATGCCATCACTCTGCTAAACAACTAATACCCACAACACTGTCAAACTATTTAGTAAGGCTGTATTAACATTCTTCTTCTCATCTTTCCTATCGCCCATCTCCTTTTCTACTTATGACTATAACTATATTGTTTCTTTATGATTTATATTGTTTTATTTAGTTTCCTAGTATGATTTATGTTGATTGCTTATTTAGTATCCTATAACTGTCACTAAGTGTTATATCCTATGATTTATGATGTATTTTTATGACGACTATGGTCATGTTTTATCACTTATAGCTTTTATGTACACTGAGAGCTTATGCACCGAAGACGAAGTCCTTGTGTGTCCAATCAGCCTTGGCCAATAAAGAATTCTCTTCTCTTCCTGGAAGGAGGCTGCCCTTCCGGACAAGCCACACAAGGCTGTGCCTGCTCAGAGGTAGCCAGACAGGCTGTTCTAACCAGGCAGCATCAGGACTACAGGCTGGCTGGGCAAGCAAGTAAGCAAGATGTCTACCTCCTGAACACCACCCTGGCATCACCAGTCCACCCCTTTCTTTTCCGCTACCTCTGTCTTGTTTTTCTGTTCACAGGACAAGCATTAGTGCCACATTATGGGAACCCTACCTGGTGTAAGAAACAGAATCGCATTCAAAATTTTCAGACAGGGAAGTGATCAAACATCAGCCATGACAATTAAATATCTGCACTAGCTCTGTCCTTTTTACCCAGTAAAAATAAATTCCAAAGGCTTTGTATGTTTCATTTTTGCCAAAATACAGAAAAATAACCGAACAACAGGGTCTTCTAGTCCAAACTGCTGCCAAAGCAGGAGACCTTATCCCATGCCGGACAAATGGTTGCTCAGTCTCCTCTTCAAAGCTTCCAGTGATGGAGCACCCACAACTTCTGAGGATGAGTTGTCCCCCTGATTTTAACCATCACTCACTCTGCCTCTGCTCATCCAGAGTGATGTCAAAACAAGACATTTTCTCCTTGCTGCATAACTCTGGTCAAGTGCTGAAAAACAATTCAAGTGATGTGAACTGAGCCGGACTGCCCTGAGGTGACTGCACAGCTGGCAGCACCATCACATCCCACAAAAGCCTTTCAAAAGCTGCTTCTAGTGGGAGGAATGGGGCACGCTCAGGAGGGAGTGGGGAAGGGCAGGACGTCCCTCCAGGGCCTGCGTGTCCAACCGACTTACAAATTACTTCCTTGAGAGTTCACCAAATATCCTTGGACGGTAGCACTCTTCCAGAAGAACGGGACAAGTGGAAATAAGTGACGGAGACGTCATAAGTTGGGGGGGGGGGGAGAAATCAAAGGCCCAGAGACAGAGAACCATTCTGGGCCACTGAATGGACAAAAAGGATCTGGGTTTCTTGGTGGGTGACAACCTGAGCCAAAAGCCAATGCAATCAGAGGCCACATTAACAGAAGCCAAGCTAAGCCTCAAGATCAAGGGGAGTCACCATTCCTCTCTGCTCTCTGCTCCGGTGGGCAGCCCATGCCAAGAATACTGCATCCAACTCAGAGGATTTTAAGATGGACACTGACAGAAGGGAAGGTGTCCAGAGGTGACGAAGTAAGGCAGCAAGGAAAAACTTATGAGGGGTAATTGGAATTCTTAAAGAGGCTTAATTGGAAAAGAGAAACTCTACAGGAAAACATAACAGCTGTGCCAAAGTACAGCCAAAGGGTCATCATTTCGAACATAAATAAAAATGGCTGGAGGCTGCCCCAGAAGGCAGGAGCAAAAAACAACCCGTTTAAATGGTAAGGAAATTGATTTGGAAACATCAGCAAAAAACTCCAGAATTACGGGCTGCTCCTCAATAGAACAGGCCATAGCTGTTTAAGCAGAGGCTGAAGGGCCTCCTAGGAGAAGGCTGCAGTAGGAGATTCCTCCACTGGTGAAGGGTCAGACTGGTTTCTTTCCAATCTTTACATTCCAGAAGAATGGGACGGAATCCCTTTTCTATTGGACAGATGCTACTTTAGAACTGCCAAAAGGACAGGATCCATTTGCATCTCTAAACTCTTCTGCCAGCATCCAAATCTTCTCCAGCTGACATACAATCTGAACTGCCTGTCTCTCCCTCCATGGGAATAAAAGCTGTCCTGGACAACATAGAATCATAAGGCTGGAAGGGACCTCAACAAAATGCCCTGCCCAAGGCAAGAAACCTTGTTTTTCTTTTTCTCTTTCTTTGTTTTCCTTCTTTCTCTTTTCCTTCTCTTTCCTTTCTTTTCCTTTTCTTTCTCTTTTCCTTCTTTCCTTTCTTTCCCTTCTTTTTCTCTTTCTCTCTTCCTTCCTTCCATCTTTTTCTTCTCCTTTTACAACTTCAGGTGTCAGGGGAGATACAAAGTTCTAGCTCTTGTTCTTCTGGTGGCTCCAACCTTGGTTAACTGCTGCTGTTGTGGTGTGTCTTGGATGTTGTCTCCCCAACTTCTTTGGGGTCTGCCATTGACCTTCTCCCATTTTATATAGGCCTTGTATGGTGTGGAATCCCAAGACATCCTCTCCAGGTCAGCAAATCACTTTATTTGCTGTTTTGTATAGACTGTATTTTTCAGAGTATAAGAAACACCTTTTTCCCTCAAAAGAGGCTGAAAATCTGGGTGCGTCTTATACACTGAATATAGCATTTTTTGCCTCCTGAAACCCCCCCTTCACCAAAATGGCTGTTCAGAGCCTGTAGAAGGCTTTTAGAGAGCTCCTGAGGGCTGGGGAGGGCAGAAATGAATGAAAAATGGGCCGTTTTTTGCTCAATTCCCCCACCCCCAGGAGTACTCTATAAGCCTCCTAAAGGTTATACATGCAAATCTTTTGACAAAAATGGGCCTGTTTTTGCGAAAAACGGGCTGTTTTTGCTTTGGGGGGAGGGCACTCCCAGGCGCACTCTGCAAGCCCCCTAAAGCCTATTTGGGAAAAAACAGGCCTGTTTTGGGGAGGTTTGCAGAGTACAAAAACTTTTTTTTAAAAAAATTGCCTCTTCAAAACCTTGGTGCGTCTTACACTCCGAAAATTATGGTAATTTAAGATTTGGCCCTCTGCCAATTCTTATTGTCTCATTTCTGATTTTCTCTCTTCTGGTCACTCCAGCAGTTTTCTTCAAACATCCCAGACAAATGGTTCATAAAAGCCTCCAGCAATGAAGCACCTACAACTCCAGAAGTTGTTCCATAGATTAATTATCCTGTTAGGACATTTCTCCTTAGTTCCAGGTTTGTCTCTAGCTTCTTGCTCTGCCCTCAGGTGCTTTGCAGAATAAGTCAATCCCCTCTTCTCTGTTAAAGCCCTTCAAATATTGGAAGGCATCTATCATGTCGCCCTAATCCTTCTCAACAGGCTAGATATACCTAGTTCCTTTCACCATTCATCGTATGGTTTAGCCTCCAGAACCCTAATGCTCTTTGTTGCTCTTCTCTGCACTTGCTAGGGTCCCAACACCTTTTTTTTTATTGTGACGACCAGAATTGGATCAGTGCAGCATAAAGCGGTGCTAATCGTGTCCTGTGATCTTGATTGTCCCCCTCTGTTGATACAATCTAGGACTGCACTGGCTTTTTTGGCAGCTGCTGCACACTAATTCATACTTAAGGTTTACTAGATCCTTCTCACAGTTAATTGAGCCAGGTACCTACTATTGTGTATCTGTGCACCTGATCATTCCTAAGTCCTTATTTTTCTTGCCAGTGAAGAACTGAATCTTTTGAATCAGGCGCAACCCTTAATTCTGTCAAAATCATTCTGAACCTTGACTTCCAAAGTGTTAGCAAATCCCCTCAACTTGCTATCGCCTGCAAATCGGATGAGCCACCCCATCTATCCCTTCATCTAGAAGTTGAAGAGTCCTGGGCACAGGACAGAATCTTGAGGTAACCCACTGCCCACTTCCATCCATGTAGATGTAGTTTCACTAAGGACTATGCACTGAGTGTGGTTAGTCAGCCAGTTATGAATTTAGCTTGTGGTCATGTTTTCTATCCCACATTTTCCTATCTTGCCAAGGAATAGGTTGTGATCTCCTTTGTCAAAGGCTTCACTGAAATCCAAATGTACTATGTTTACAGCATTTCTTGGGTTCTCTAATTTAGTCACTTTGTCAAAGAAGAATGTAAGGTTTGTTGAGCACGATCTGTTTTTAACAAATCCATGCTGACTTCATTACTGATTTCTAGGTGCTCACAAATTCGCTAATTGATTATCTTTTTTAGGATTTTCCCAGGTATTGATGTTGTTTCATAACTCTCTTTCTCTTAGTAAAGTTTAACTGATCCTGGAACTGCCACAAAAAACTCCCTTCAGGAGTTTCAACTTCCTTAAGGCAGAGAAGAGAAAATTAGGGACTGCAATTAAGCCCGATTGGAAAAAAAGAGGGACTTTTTGGCTCAGGGCATATGTCAGACTTGATATGAAGTGTCTCTCGAAAGGTAAAGTTTTGGGGCATTGAAATCACACAATCAGTAACCTTACCGAGCTGACGTCCCAAATTTTGAGAGTCTTGTCATCGGAGGCAGAGACAAGAAGATTAGAATCAGATGACCAAGCAACATCAGAGATCCCCTGCAAAACAGAAAAAAATGCCTCTGCAATGATTTCTTCTTCACCCAAAGTTTGGGAAACCTCATCCCTCCCCAGCAACTGGCACTGCCAACTGCCTTGGGTGATCAGGAGACGCTCATGAAAAGTCAGACTGCTAGGAAGTCTCAGGGCTGCAAATGACATTTGAAAGCTTAAAACAAAATTGCAGAAAGAGCAATAATCATCTCTTTTATAACACCTACATGGACATTACAAAGAATTGGCCTGGAAAAGCCCTCGTTTAGGATGCACAGGTGTCTCTTGAATGAATGAGCCGAGGTGGCGCAGTGGTTAAATGCAGCACTGCAGGCTACTCCCGCTGACTGCAGTCCTGCAGTTCGGCTGTTCAAATCTCACCGGCTCAAGCTTGACTCAGCCTTCCATCCCTCCGAGGTGGGTAAAATGAGGACCCGGATTGTTGGGGGCAATATGCTGACTCTGTAAACCGCTTAGAGAGGGCTGAAAGTCCTATGAAGCGGTAGATAAGTCTAACTGCTATTGCTATTGCTATACCCAGAAGGATGACAGCAGACTCCTCCAGCAAATGCTTCACTTGATACAACTCCTGATGTGCCCAACTACTCCTCAGTAGTGGTTTAGGAAGTGCTTTCAAAATCTGTCTCCCCATTTGTGGTCAAACATTGTTTAGTCTAGAAATCTCTCTTCCCTTTATGCTTTTTGTCCCCAAAGTATGATCTGTCATACTTACGACTGAGAGGCCACCTCAGTGACGCCAGACCGTAACTTCCTTCTCATGGCTTATTACAAGGCCTCCTTGGGAAGGATTCTGCTAAGGAAGGGGATCCTGTCTCTTGGGACCATCTCAGTTAAATTTGCAAGGAGCATCAAACTCCCATTCTGTGTATCATACTTACCAGTTTATGTCCAGACATGGTTTTTTCAAACTTGCCATCGTAAGCACCCCAAATTTTAATCAGCTTATCAGCCGCTGAAAAAAAAAGAAAGGATAAAAAGTGAAAATGATTATAAAAGTCAGTTTGCCACCCATAATTTTGTTTGCTGCAAAAGCAAGTAGATCTCATTTAATGCTGTTTAATCATTTGAAGTTAAGATGGTGCTGAAAAGAGCAGTGGCCCTCAGAGTGTTCCGTGCAGTCGCGTGATTGACATGTGGGTTCTTGGCAACTGGCAGACAATTAACCCAGTGAGAGTTGGAGAAGGCCGGGCAACAGCAGGAGCTGCTTTCCCCTGGGATGACGAGGGAGGCTGTGCCCTGCAAGGGAGTCCAACCAGCAGGGCCAGCCATAAAGTATTGTGAACACAAACACTTCCATCTTTACAAATGTCCAGCCAACAAATCCATTCAGAGTGAGCTGTGATAAAAAATTCCAAAGCTCCGGGGCTTCCACTCGCCTCTGCCTAGTCTAGAGGATGGAAAACTACAGTATATTGTGCAAAATTATAAATGTTTACACCAATCATAAACATAGCTTTCCCTGATACAACCCCGAGCATATAGACAGCCTTAAGAAATCCTAATTCTGCCAGTTTTACAGATGTTCAGAAATGATGTGATCGCCCCCTGTATTAAGAACAATTTTTCTTAAGTTACAGTGGCAAGTATAGGTCAAAAGAAAGCACAGATGACAAATGAGGTTACCAGCTGCTTCAACGGCAGTGAAAATCACAAACGGTCTGATGAGGACACAACAGGAACCGATAGTCTGTAGAGATTCTCAGTCCTCCAGGTCATGGTTGTCCCAGAGGTGCTTTTCTAGGCAACTGGACTTTGTTGTTTTTTCTTTTGAAGACATTTCGCTTCTCATCCAAGAAGCTTCTTCATCTCTGACAGGTGCTTCATTCCCCACTATCCTATCAGAGCTGAAGAAGCTTCTTGAGTGAGAAGTGAAACGTCTTCAAAAGAAAAAAACAACTGCCTCCTGAAAAAGCACCTTTGGGACAACCAGGAACAAAGGCAAACGGCCTTCTCTGGAGCCATCCCAGTCAAAAGTCCTGTCCTTCCAAGCCCATCTCAAGGACACTGGGGGGCTTCTGAATAACAACCTGCTCAGAAGGAAGCCTCCACTCTGTGACACAAATATCCATACATGTAAAAAAACCAAACCCCACCCATTTGGCTTCCACTTTAAAATAACCATTTTAATTTTAGTTCCTTTAACTGGGATTACATGCTGTAGAAAGAAAAGAAGAGGACCACAGGATACTTACAAGAACTAGCCAGCCACTCCCCATTGGGACTGAATTTTACGGAGGAGACGGCTTTGGTGTGTCCTGCCAATGTGAACTTCAGGGCATAGTTGGGTTTCACAGGTGCAGGCTGGCAAAATAAAGTCATGTTAGATCATGAAACAACTTGTCCACACGGCCAAGCAGGGGCTACGCAGTTCTTTAGCCACCACTTGCCAGGATTCTCCCCAGCCCTTTGTACCTCCCTCCAGGCAGCAGAGGAACTGGGGCTTGGCAGAGAGCTCTGCAGGAAGGCTGCCTTGGCTTCATGGAGGCCAAACAATCCCAATAAAACAATAATTGGGAGAGCTATTATTTCATGGCCCATCGCATCAGCCTTGTGACCACAAAGACAAGTCCCTGAAGTTTTACTGCAATGCTTTCAAATGGCTCGCCAGTGCTTTTTTCCCCCCCGAGGGTTGAAAGAAAACAACTGGCCTCAAGTCATCCAGGCAGGTCCCACACCCAAGGGGAGATTAGAACTCGGTCTGGCTTCTAATTCAGCCCTTTAAATGCTACGACAAACTGGTTTTCAGGATCCTTTTATTAGGATTGACCAAATTAACAGAGAAGCATGTGAAAACAAGATGGTGCAAATGCAGGTACCGAGTCACTTTTGAAATCTGCTCCTTCACCAATTAGAAGACAGTTTTAATAAATATCTAAAAATTCATTTTTTGAAGAAAGTTCTCCATTTGGAGAACTAAATGGAGATTTTTGGGCAGAAGCCATGTATCTGCAAATGCCAATGGCTGCCTAGCAGGGAGGCAGTGACATTTGTACCCTCCCAGCACAGCAATTGGAAGGCACAGCTGGACTAACCGGAACTAAGTCCGAGCCGAGACAGAAGTTCTTTTGCAACAGTATGTTCTGATCAACTGGCAAAGCTGTTGACTGTCACAAATCCAAAACTGTGTGGTTTCCTCTTTAACATCCTGATGAAGATAAATTTATTAGGCTATTCAGATATAGTTTGCATTTTTCCAAGAACTTTTTAAGAAAAATACTAGAGTCAGTCACACTTGAGAATGTTGGAGGTGGAGATCGGGGCTCAGTTCTGGAGCACAGACTTAATGCAGAGAATTGAAGAATTCCGAATAAAAGAATTGCAGGCTGAATTGCTAGAAAACATCCATTTGTATCTGGCTCTATTCTCGGTTGTTGACATGTGTTGTTTTATTTAAGTTGTGCTTTGTTCTAATGATTGCAGATACAGATAGTCCTTGGCTTACAACAATTGGGACCAGGACGGCAGTCATTAAGTGACACGGTCATAAAATGTGACATCATGTGACCATATCACTTAGCACTGCCAATTCCAGAAGTCCCAGTTGCACTTGCTAAGTTGCGATTCTGACTTCCTGCCAGTTTCCTTATCGACTTTGCTTGTGGGAAGCCACCAGGGACCCTATAGGAATTGGAACTACAAAGGCCCTTCGTAGTTTAAGTACCATTTGCTAAGCAAATGATCATAACTTCAGAACTACCTGTATTTGAAAAGTTTGATCAGTAGTTAAGATAGAAATAAAGGTATATATTTTTTAATATATGGCACATTTTCAGATGCTCAGCATCCATCTCTTTATTTACATTGTAGTAAAACATTTTTTGCATTCCCCATATTTTTATTTGTATCTTGGATTTATTTAACGTAAGTTATTTGATGTTGCTCAAATCAATACAGTTCTGGCAAAAAGTTACTAGAATATAAATATGCGAATTCAATGATTGCAAACCTATCCTGTGCTGGAACAGATGGCACAATAGCCTGCTTCTCCTGTCACAAATTTAGTTTATGCTTCGATGTGATGGTTCTGTGAGCAACTAAATTCTACAAGCAAGAAGAGAGGTAAGATATTCTCTCAGCAAAATGCAGATTTTGATGCTCCTCGGGCTCTCCCGAGGAATTCTCCTTGGACTTCCAGCCAGAAGGATGGGCCAGAAGCTTTCCACTCACCTTGCTCTGATTGGTTGAGGAGGAAGGAGCCGACTGCGGTTTGGCTGACTCCGCATCAGGTTTCTTCTCTTCCGTAGCCATGATGGTGGGAAGCACAAGCCAGGATTAGTCTCAAAGGAAGGTTCACTTTTTTCTGGGGACAGGGAGAGAGAGAAAGAAAGAGCATTTTACTGACACATTGCACCTGAGAGCAGCAACAAGGCCGTGACTGCGCAGTGGGGCATTTCACCCACCTGTGAAATAAAGTGAGAGAGAGGACGCATCCCAGGACATTGTGAAGAAGCTGCCCAACAGTAGCTGAGCTTCTGCCAGCCAACCAGAGACCTACAAAGCCCATCAGTGGCCCTGGAAGGCAAGTCCCGTCCGGACAAGGCAACCAAGTGCAGGGCCGGGCTTTTCCCCAGGTGGCCTGCGTGGCCATTGACTCCCCCACCACTGCAACGATAGGAAGGGGAGACGTGGCAGGCTTCTGTGGGTCGCTCAGGAGGGACCCAAAGTGAAGCAGGCTGACCAGCTCAGTGTAAACCCCCACCTCCCTCCAACATGGCGCTTGAAGAGGGTGGGCTCCGATTCCCACAATTCCCCAGCCAGAGAGTTGGGAGATTATGGGGGTTGAAGTCCACCCTCTTGGAGTGCCATGGGGGGGGGGAGGACCCTCCCAGGGAAGGGAGCAGCAGCAGCAGAAGGGAGGATCCTGAGGACAGAACCGGGGGGAGGGGTCTCTCTTGGGGGGGGATTCCCCTCCACGGTCACCGGAACAGGAAAGCCTTGCAGGGTCCTGCCGGCGGGGCCCCGCAGCGTCATCGGGGGTGGGGCGGAGGGCCAAAGAGGCCTCCTGGGGAGGAGCAGAGGCCGCAGCGGCGCGAGGAGAGGCCTCCCCAGGCCCCAAACGGACCGCCCGCCCAGTGCCGCCGCGTGGGATTGAGGGCCCGGAGGCTGCGGCCGGCCCACCACGCCCGTCCGCTCGCTCGCCAGCGCGGCTCACTCACCGCGCCACCTTCTTCGCGGCGGGTCTCGCGGGCTCCTCGGGCTCCGCCGCCGCCGCCTCCCTGCGGGCCGCCCGGCGGGAGGGAGGGAGGGAGGAGGGAAGAGGGAGGGGAAGCCGCGCGAGGCCTCGCGCAGGCGCACTGCGGGCGGTCAGGCGAGGCAGGCGCGACGCCGCTCTTTGCGTTTGCCTTGCTCGCGCAAGCGCAGAGGCTCCCGGCAAGACGTGCCAGGACACGCCGGGCGGAAACGTCTCTCGCGGCTACGGCGGGCCTAGAGGGTCAAGAGACGCAGGCGCGTAGCCGAAGGAGGGAGGGGTTCCTGCTGCTGCTCGGTTTCTTTCGCAGGCGGAGGAAGGGGCGGAGGAAGGGGCGGGGGGCGGCGGCTTCAGGCCTCCTTCGCTCCCGGAATCGTTACGGCCGGAGCTTGCAGGCCGGGATTTTTGCAAAGGGATTCTTGCCCCACGCACGGCAGGAGCAGTTCCCGCTGAAACTGAATCGCGCGCAAGTAGCCCTGAGGATCGCGGGCAGAGACCGGCAGCGTTCAGAAGAAGCGGGTTCACAGGAGTGCAGACTGGCAAGCTTCTCTTCACACACACGCGCGCGTTTATTAATGCGCCTCGCTCCATTGTGGATCCTGCTGAAGTGTCGCTTGACTCCAGAGCGACTCCGCACCGTTTCAGCTCACGGTCTGAAACAGTGGATCTCATACTCACAGGGGACCCCAAACGTGGCAACTTTAAGACTTATGGACTTCAACTCCCAGAATTCCTCAGGCTGGAGAATTCTGTGAGTTGAAGTCCACAAGTCTTAAAGTTGCCAAGTTTGGGGATCTGTCATAGAGCAACAGGAGAATCCATCCAACAGTGCGGAAGATGCTGCCTGGATCTTCAGGGAATCCTCTTCCAGGCGCTGCAGTGGAGATGGCGCCTTAGTGCTTAGTGGGTCCCTAGAGATGAAGGTGCTTAATCCAAAGTACCTGGAGTCTGCAAACTCTGCCCAAACAGATCAGCAGGTGGTCTCTCAAGTAACCAGGCACTGTGTGAAGTAAGGCTGTAGAGGTCACAACCAACACTTGAAACACACCCAGAAGAAAACTGGCCACCGGTGTAGTTCACAAAGCAGAAGTGCCCACAGCTGCCTGCTCTGCTGAATTCTAGGTCGGAGGAAGCTTCTCATTCATTGGGCTCCAAGGGCAGCTTGAAGCGCAGGTAGTCCTTGACTTACAAACGCTTTGAAAGTACAGTGGTGTTGAATGAAGGGACTGCCAGGGAAGGTCACAAGCCATTTCCTTTCTCCTGCCCACTCTGCCTCTTCCCCTCCCTGGGCCAGAAAGTTAAAAAGACTTTCCGGCCCAGGGAGGGCAGGCGTGATTGTGCCCCCTCCCCAGGGGCACAAGTTGAAGAAAGGAAGAAGCTGTATGCCACCACTACCAGGGGCTGGAAAATTAGGCCCCTGTGGTGGTGGGGAGGGGACCTGGTGCACTGGGCAGGAGAAGGAAGCATGGATCCTCAGGATCCGAGCTTCCTTTCTCTGGCCCAAATGCTGGTTCTGCACAGGGAGAGGAGCTGCCAGCCTTTTACTCATTTTGCTTAGCATCTGGGAATGCTGTGACAGTGTCGTTGAGTGAGGCTACCAGGCAGGCAATTCACTTAACAACCACAGCAACTTACGATTGTAGTGGGGAGGTTTCCTTACAGTCCTAAGTGAAGGATGATCTATATAGCATTCTGCAATCATGGGTTGTCTAGGGCAGGAGCAATCAGGCTACTAGGGGCCGATTCTATCTCAGATCCTGTTCAGCTGGTGCTGTGGGGCTTCCTTGGGTTTCCCTGACTCATCAAGACTTAAAAGTATTCAATTTTAAGCCACTTGTCAACCTCAAATTATTACACTTAATGTAATAATTCTGCATGTACTCAATCATTTTCTCCTCTTATGAATAATCCTACACTGAATGAGTAAACAATATTTTGATTTTATTACTTTACAGTGACTGAGTGTTCCCAAGAAGAAATTGCCATTATGGAAATAAATCAGTGCTGGGTAGACCCGAATGGTTGAACAGCAATAATATGTACCATGTACAATAATGATAATTTATTAAAATTGTAAGCCACTTAATAACGCAGGGCAATTCATAGCAAAGTAATTACTATTACAATAAAAGATAAAAACGAAAATGTAATGAAGCCAAGGGTGTGAAAGGCGTGTGAAAGTAACTATGGGTGACTGGAAGAGCCACAGCCTAGACAAAGATCTGATGAATGAAATACAAGTCCAAAGGAGGGGAGGGTGTCAGAAGGGACCCTCCCTACTTCAGTGAAAAGTGGGGTGGAGGGGAACAGTCCTTTCAGACTTGCAAGGTTATTTTAACCTTATAGCTAAGGTATTACAGTCATTGAAGAAGTCCTTGGTTAACAATAACGATTCTGAGGAATTTGTCCTTAAGCGGTACATTCGTAAAGTGTGATGTCACATCACTTACCAAAGCAAGCCAGACACCCCGTTACCATTGTTAAGCAAGGACGGTGAGTTCCAGGTATTTCACAAGTAGGCTGGCAGGTAGGTAAGTGGCTGCTACCCTATGGGAAGGGCATGCGGGTGGCCAGCATGGCATGAGCACAATGAGTGTGGGGGAGGGGGGAGAGTAACTACCATGACTTTCCACCTTCCCCATTGACTTTGCTTGTGGGAAGCTGGCAGGAAAGATGCCAAATATCTATCACCTGACTTCAAGATGCTGCCAACTGTTGTTTGTCTAAGTCAGCTGCCAGGTGCCCAGATTGCAGCCATGTGGCATTTAAGGGCTGTTGGGACAGCCAGAACTTTCAGGACCCATCCTAAGTACCACCCAGGACCCCTGTAACTTTGAATGGTCACAGGACAAGTGGTCAATATATGAGAACTACCTGAATTTACGGTTCTGGAGCCAGGTTTTCACAGTTCTAAACAACAGCACATCCAGATCTCTGGGGGAACCACAGAGCAGGGGCTGTTGCAGAGAAGGCTCGCTTCCGAGGCCCGTGGGAATATGGAGTTGCCAGTCTTGCAGGGACAATTTGGCTGAGCAGATGCGGTGGGAGGCAGCGGGTCCCTCAAGGAACCCTGCGCTACGGCGTGTAGAGTTTGGAGGCACACAATGAAACCAGCGACTGTAGCCCTCAGAAGGCAGGAGCGTTGAAAGGGTAAACGGAGGCAGGCCCCTCCAGGGCTGTGGGAGACGCCGCGTTCTGCACCAGTCCTCCTAACGGGGAGCCCCACGTGGAGCAGGTTACAGTAGTCAAGCCGGGGACCACCTGAAGGGCCCCAGGGACCCGTGCAGAGTGCCTCCCACCGAGGCTGCGGACGGGAGGGGCCATGACAAAGAGGGGCCCGAGGAGAGGCGCTTCGGGTGGCTCCGCCAGGCCTTTCTCGGCCTGCACCGCGGAGGCTCCCATGGCACCAACGGAGCCGGCGTGTGCCTGGGCAGGCTTGCGCGACGGGGACGCCTCGGTCGCTGGGACGGAGCCTACACAGAGGTTCTCCCGATGGGTCCCACCGAGAGGAGGCCGACCTGGCCGGGCCGCCGCCGCCGCCGAGCGCTTTGTTGGCGGCGCGGCGAAGAAAGGGGGCGCACGCAGGCTGGGGCTTGTAGTCCCCGCCGGGCGGAGCGCCGCGCCAGGCCGCTCCAGTGAACTACGCTTCCCGGCGGCCCCCGCGGCCGGCGCATGAGCGCAGCGCTGCGCCCCGTCCGAGCATCAGCCCGACTGGCCTCGGCGGGCGGCAGCGGACCGGAGCGGCGGCGGCAGGAGCGGCTCGGTACGCAGCGCCAGCCAGCAGCCGGCCAGCCTGCCCGCCCCCCCGCTTACTTGGGCCCGCCGCCGCCCCCGCCGCCCCCCGGGCCCGC